GGGGGGGGGGGGGGGGGGGGTGTTCCAGTTTTGTTTGCAAATTTGGCTCCATTTTAATATTCAAACTAAATCTAAAATTAGACTTCAGAGGGTCAGGAGATCCAGCAAAAATTGTCTCCTCCATATGCTCTTGTGTATTCTTCCTTCTTCCTCTCCCTTCCTCTCCCCACCTCTCCTATTTCCCACACATTTTAGCCTGAGCTGGAACATGAGTGAAAAAATGACCTCTCTTTCATGCACTTAATTGCATTTTAAACTTTAATAGCTTCTTACTATCTTCCTAAGAAGTGATCCAGGAGATCCAGCAAAAATTGTCTCCTCCATATGCTCTTGTGTATTCTTCCTTCTTCCTCTCCCTTCCTCTCCCCACCTCTCCTATTTCCCACACATTTTAGCCTGAGCTGGAACATGAGTGAAAAAATGACCTCTCTTTCATGCACTTAATTGCATTTTAAACTTTAATAGCTTCTTACTATCTTCCTAAGAAGTGATCTGTTCAACTAAAGGCCTAGGGATTACACTCAGGCTCATTGGAGATAAAGGATGTACTTTTTCATCATATTCCTTCTCTCTCTGTATCAAACATTCTTCTGCATAACCCATTTTTATATTAAAAGCTACACACCTTTATTTCAAAATTGGATGTAACTGGGTTTTAGGGTCATCTCATAAGAGACTTACTGGAATTATACAGCTATAAAATACCTATTCATTGTTTATGAGAACGATATGATGAAGCTAATGTTAATCAAGAAGTATTTTAATAGTGTGCAGTGATTTCCCAGGAGCCATTAGTAATACAGTTTTATGACAAATTGGGGAGAAAGTGAAACATACCTACAGAATACTACACTACTCAGTCACTTCCTTTTCTGAACTAGAGAGAAAAACACTGGATTTCACCATGTTTGTGTGTGTATTTATAGAATTCACAACTGAAAAACAGAGCAATCATGACTACTTCATTTGTTGTATACTGAATATATTTTTGGAACTACAGCATTATGATTTTGTGAGTTTAATTGACTATTTTCTTTTGGCATTTTTAAAAATAGATGGCAGCAGTTGAATCAAATAAAGGCAGCCATGATGCCTGCCATGTTAACTGAAAGATGGTATGGAAGGAATGATTTTTTTATAATGATCCCAGGAGTGAGAGGTAAAACAAAATTACTTCCAGGTTATGTGGCATGTAAACGATTAGCTCCTGTTTGGAGGGCTAATTGGCACTGATTTTCATTCTAAGTGGTGGCAGCAATTTAGAGGAGTGGGATGGGGTGAATCTAAAGGGCTGAGAAATTTTGCATTTTCAAAAGCAGAGCTTTTCAGGTTATATCTTCCATCAGCAGAGGATAGATTATTGTGTTGTGCATGGGGGGGTGGGTGAAGGTAGAGCTGAGGGAGGCAAGTCTCTCCCCCACCCCCAGTTCTACCCCTTCTGCTAAGGCCCCACCTCCCACGGGAGCCCACCTTCCTGCCTCCCATTACAGAGAAGCGGGGCAGCATACCCTCTTTCCCCCAGCACAGGGAGGGCACACAGCCCCAGGCTCCCTAGCCAGGACCATGGGGAGGTTGGGTGCTTGGGGGCAGCAACACTTTGCCCCCAGTACACCTACAGGTAGGTATCTGGGAAAGGAGTGTGGCCAGGGCCAGGCTGTCAATTTCCTCCACCTAGCATGCCAGTGTCGGGGACTCGAACCCGGACGGCCTCTGTTCGTTGTCTGACCGCAAAGAGACAGGCAACACCGGCAAGATCCAATCACAAGCTCTTTATTGAATGGTGCACACAACAATAGAGAGCGGCCCGTCTCCAAAGAGAACCAGCCCCGATTTCATTTACAGGTAGGCTTATATAGACAGTTCCGTCGCGTCATAGACTATTTGCCCAAGCAACCAACCCCCCTTTATCGGTTAGAAACCTCTAATACCCATGCATACCTGGCCAACTATACATCATAGCCTTAAGCAATTCATAATGCATCAGCAATTTCTTATCAGCCCAAAAGACAGGTACTGGGCAATAAGGAGACAGTTTGTTATGGCCAAAGGAGAACATAAACAGGGAGTTTGGAACAAACGGGGAGAGCAGAAACAGGGAGTCTCCTTATCAGTTCTCAAAACAAACTGTTCCTCATCACAGCAGGTACAAAAATGCAGCTTCTTGCTTATCTCATTTTGCAACTTGAGCAAGCGTGTAGGGTGCGTCCCTGCTTGAACCTATCTCCAGTTCTGCCCAGGGACTACCCAGAAACCTTTGTTACATTTGCTTTAGCATAACTGCACTAGGCCTATTTTTCCTAGGGCCTAACACCAGCCTTCCTTGGTGCTGGGATTAGAGATAAACTCAACAATAAGCTTGAGGGATATCTGGTTTGGGCTTCTTACTAGGATAGGCTTGACTGTGAAAATTAGATCCAAATCTAACTTTCTGAAGGTTTAATTGTAGAGGGAGAACACACAGAAACCTGTTGGAGAACACTTTAACCTGCCTGGGCACTTATTAATAGCTCTCCATGTCACTGTGTTGTTTCAGGCCAATTCCACAAGCCAAATACACAGGGAAGCATTGGAACTTAACTTCATTTACAAGTTTGGGACCCATCACAAAGGTATGAATAAAGACATTACCTGGCTAGCACGCTACCTTCCACAACCTAATGACTTAACCAACCAAACAATAGATACTTAAGAACAATTTGCACCTTCTCTATCAGCTTCATGGAACATGAACACTTTAATTCATTATTTTTCCCTTCCTTCCCCACCTCTCCATCCCCAATTTATTTTGGAACTGGTCTTTTAATACTCCATTCATCTGAAAAAGTGCATTGTAGCCACGAAAGCTCATGGTACCCATGAAAGCTCATCTATAGGTTTTGTTTGGCTTTAAGGTGCTGCTAGACTATTAGTCGTTTTTTTTAAGTTTTTGTAGAGACAGAGTTTGGATTGAGGGTTCTGTTCTAGATTCATTCTTTATGCATTTATTTGTGCTATTTCTGTGGAGATAGTTTTATAATCTAATAAAACTCCTAACAGTAAATGCTTCCCAATAAAGTCTACGTTTTCTTTTTGGCCCATTTCACTGCATCATCTCCAGTTATACTGCTCTCAATACACCTGACCTGGTGGATTCTGGGAGCTCTTCAGGGTGGTGAGTCCTGTCAAACATCCCATCTCCCATAACAATATTGTTCCACTTAACCAGATTAGTTATCTGCCAGCCCCAGCAATAATGAAGCATGTGGTGCTCTTGGATCTGGAGGGGATGCTTTCTTTAGAATGAATGGAGCAGTCATTGCTTATGAAGAATGGAAAGCTGATGAGTTGGCATTCCGCAGAAATGCTCCATGGATCACAGGATGGACTTTAGGTGCAGTGTTGAGGGGTAGACTATTGCAGAGTGTGACGGGGCGGACAGGCCCCGCACTGATGAGCAGGGGATAGCGCAGGCCCAGCTGGCAGAGAAAGCCCTGCCCCTCCGACCCTGCTGGGCATGCTCCCAACAGCGGCCGGGTATAAAGGCAG